TTTTTTTCTGCTCTGGGACCTTTACTCACTTACATCGGAGTTGTGATTCTCCTGTTTTCAGCCTCCCAAGTGCTGGGGTTACAGGTGCTCGCCATCATGCCCAGCCTCAACTGCCACCTCAGCGTGCTCTGGCCTACCATGCTGGGGATCAAACCCCGACCACTGCATATCATATGTTGTTTTAATTTGTTTTGTTTTTGAAATCTCACATGTAACTCAGGCTGCCCTTGAACTCACTGTAGCCCAGGCTGGCCTCAAATTTGCAGTGATCCTCCTGCCTCAGCCTCCCAAGTGCTAGGATCACAGACTTGCACCATCACATCTGACTTTTTAAAATTTTCTTTTTAATATTTATTTATTTATTCATTTATTAGGCATAGGGTCTTGCTATATAGCTCAGGCTCACAGTGATCTTCCTGTCTCAGCCTCCCCAGTGCTGAGATTACAGGGGTGCGCCACCACGCCAGGTCTCGGCGGCTGGCTCAGTGCAGGGCCAGCACAGCGTGTGGTACTGAGGATCAAATTCAGGTCCTTGAGTTTTCCAGGCAGGTGCTTATACCACTGAGCTATTTCCCATGCCCTGACTTTTTTTTAAAGGTAAAATATTGCTAAATTGCCCAGGCATGATTCTCCTGCCTCAGCCTCCCAAGTACTTGGGATTACAGATGTTTGTTTGTCGTTTTGTTTTATTTTGTGGTACTGGGATTAGAACCCAGGACCTGCGCTTGCCAGACAGACACTTATGCCACTGAGCTGTATCCCCAGCCCCTGAGATTACAGATGTATGCCTTATAACTGGCTTTAAAAATAGTTATTTATTGATAATTCTAATTTACTAAGTTGTTATCATACCTAATTTATTAATAATCATATCCCATCTTTAACTTAAACCGTATATACACACATGTATATATATGACAAGTTCAGTACTGTCTGTGGCTTGTGGCTTGCAGGGCTTTAGAACACGTCCCTGGTGAGTGGGGGGGACTATTACATTGAGGATATGAACTAAGCCAACCGTGGTGGTGCGCGCCTGTAGTGGCAGCACTGAGAAACTGAGGCAGGAGGCCACAAGTTCACACTCAGCCTGAACAGCTAAACTGAGATCCTGTCTCAAGACATGAAGAGCTGGGATGTCTCTGGAATGGTAGCACATCCCTGGACTCCAGCCTCAATACTGAAAAAAGAAAAAGATGAGGGGCTGGTGGGACGGCTCAGTGGTCTAAAGCACCTACTTAGAACAGGCTTAGCAAAGCACAGGGACCGCGGTTCAATCCCCCAGCACCACATGCCAGCCAGCCCTGCCCCCTGGTGGGCTGAGCTGCCCCCCCACACACACATAAATAAATAAAAAGATGAGAAAGAACAAGCAAGTGAAGTAAGGGCTGGGGGTGTAGCTCAGTGGCACAGCGCCTGCTTGGTAAGCACAAGGTTGGGAGTTTGATTATCTGTACCAAAAAAAAAAAAAAAGAAAAAGAAGCTAAAGTTGATATAAGTGGAGGTGGAAGGGCCAGGGCCCTTGGGGGCCTTTAGTGGACATGGGCATGCCCACTGGTGACATCCGCTTGGCTCTGAGTCCTGTGCCCATGACATGCAGGACAGGTCAGGGCTGCAGAGTGCCAGGTCCTTCTGCTCTCTCTGAGCACCTCCCTGCACCCAGGCGAGGACAGCACGTGGCTCCCAGGACCCCAGTCTGCAGCCGTGCTCTGGGACCTTTTTTTTTTTTTTTCTGCTCTGGGACCTTTACTCACTTACATTTGGATCCAAGAGAACAACCTCATCATTTTTTTTTTTTTTTTTTTTTTTTTTTTTTGCTTTTCAAAGTTGTTTGATTTTTCTGTTACAAGGGATTGAACCCAGGGCCTTCACACTGAGCTATAGCCTCATCCCTTTTTTACTTTGATTCAGAATTTCACTAAGTCAGCTAGGCCGGCCTCAAACTTGCAACCCTCCTGCCTCAGCTGCCTCGATCCAGTGGTTTAAATGAGCTCACGGAGTGTGAGGTTTGAGCATCTTAGTTAGCTGCGAGTTCTTTGCTCTGGACAGATGGCTCAGTGGCCTCGTGGGTGCTTCCCTAGAGCCTCACCACATCCCTGGGTGTTGGACCCCGATCAGGGCTGGGCAAAGTCAGGTGGAGAATGGGGCAGCAGGGGCCGGGGACATAGCTCCACGTCACAGCACCTGCCTGGCAAGAGCAAGGTGGTGAGTTTGATTCCTGGAACCAAAACGAACTATGTGATCCCCTTTGAGGAGTAGCAGCACCAGGCTGCTTACCCTGTCCAGCCCTCAGCCCTGCAGAGACCCCTGGGGGCCAACGTGCCTGTTTCAGAAGAGTGCAGGCAGAACCTGGGCTCGGCAGGCAAAGTCCCCAGGCCGCTGGAAGGGCCATGCTGTAGAGGCCCACTCTCTGCCCTCGCGGGCTATTGTGGAGCTGCTTGCAAATTTCCCTTTTCCTTCTGTAACTGTCTCTCCCAGACTACCCTGGAACTCAGGGTGATCCTCCTGTCTTGACCTCGTGAGCCCTGGGATTACAGCATGCACCTACACACCCAGCTCCAGTTCCGTGTCTCTATCTCTATTTGCTTTTTTTTTTTTTTTTTTTCAGTGCTGGGGATTGAACTCAGGACCTTGCATTTGCCAGGCAAGCACCTAGTCTACTGAGCTATCTCCCTGGCCCCTCTATTTGCTTCTGTTCTCCTGAATCTTCCTCTTTTCTCACAGTTTCCAGGCCCATCCTGCCCCCCACCCTCCACAAGTCTTTTTCTCCCTCTTTCTTTTTTTGGTACTGGAAATGGAAGCCAGGCTGGGCTCTATCACTGAGCTATATACAACTGGCCCTTTTTAATTTTGAGCCAGGCTCTCCCTAAACTGCCCTGGCAAAACTCAAAACTTGCGATCTTCCTGCCTCAGCCTCCTTCAAGGCTAGGATTACAGGTATGTACCACTACACCACTACACCCAGATTTTTTCGGTCTGATTTTCAAGCTTCTCAATCTCAGAAAGACTGTTTGCCTCCTCTCTCTTGCCCAGGCCTTCATGTGGCCCACACTCTGGAGAATCCTCAGCAGCAGGTCTCTGACCCTGCCTGAGAAGAGGCAGCCCACCCTCAGTATCATCAGCTCTGCAGCATAGACATACACCCACACATGGAGGGAGGGACAGAGGGAGAGAGCTAGAACCCTCCCCTTCCCCTCTCACCCTCTGCCAGGCTTAGCTCCCTTGGGGCTCCAGAAAGTAGGAATTTTTCCTTAAGGGGACAGCACCCCATCCCATGCAGGCCTGGCTGCTGGTCCTCAAGGGGCCAGGCCTGCATGCTCAGGCTGGTGTCTCTCCCTTCCACCTTGTGCAGCAGAGTCCCCTCACCCTCTGCCACTTCTCTTGCCATGACATCAGGCTTCTCCCAAGGCAGGGAGAGGCACCCGGAGGGGAGAGCCACCTGCATTCCCCTAGGCCCTCCCTGCCCCCATGGAGCTCTGGGGTGGGGAAGTGACAGACAGCATTTATTCCAGAATCCAGTGTCCACATACAAGGGCTGGGGGCGAGGGTGGGCAGGGGTCCAGTGTCAGACTGTGTAGCAGAACTCAGGTGGGGGGACCCGCGCGGGGGAGGAGGTAAAAATAGCCCCGGCCAGCGACCCTCCGGCCTCATCCCAGGCCGGCCCTGGGCTTGGGTCCAGGAGCTATTCTGGGGCCTGGGAGAGTGACACTCCCTTGAAAGAAGGCCCCCTCCCAGCCCCCCAGCTTCCCAGCTCCCCTCCTAGAGGCCAGGCCAGGCGGTAGGTCCCTGCCCAGCAGCCAGAGGAAGGAAGGGAGGGACAGAGCCGGGTACGCCAGGCTGGAGGAGGAGGGTGGTGGCCCAGGGCTGGTGCCCACAGCTCACATGGTCCATTGGTACTGGAGCCTCCAGGATATCTCAGGCTCAGCACTGCGGAGTAAAGGGGTGACTCAGCCTGTACCCATGAGGCTGTCCCTATGCCCAGGGGGATCCATGTTCCCCAAGGCCTGGACCTCACTCACCTCATCTCTGAAAGCCCCACTGCCACTGCGGGCTCCCCCGGGCCCTCCCACGAGAAGGCCTGTCTGCTCTGGCCGCTCGGATCCTGGGCGGCTCAGCTCTGACTCCCCAGGCCTGCAGGGAGAGTCATGGCTGCAGAAGGAGCCCAACAGGCAGTGAGGAAGGGCTGGGGTGGGGTGGGGTTCAGGTTAGGGCTGGCTTTGGGGACATGGGGGGATGGGCAGCAGGAGGGTAAGGTGCAGCAAGGTGCAGTGGGAGGCTGGACAGCCTGAGAACAAGATGTAGCTGGGGGGCCGGGGAGATGGCTCAGTGGAATTAGCGCTTCTCTGGCAAGCGCAAGGGCCTGAGTTCAATCCCCAGTTCCGCAAAAAAATAAAAATAAAAATAAAACATCAATTAAAAAAAAAAAAAAAAGATGTAGCTGGGAGTGAGGTCCGGGTTGGGGCTTGGTGGGAGACTGGCCACTCACGGGGTCCCCTTCTCTCTGTGGCGGCAGCAGGCTGAGCGTCCCTTCCGACGCATGCAGTAGAAGGCAGCAACCACAAGCAGCAGGATGCCCACACTGATGGCCACTGCCATGACAGCCACTCCAGCTTGGGCGGTCTGGGGGGCCACTGTGGGGACAGTGGGGGAGGGGCTCAGTGTGTGGCAGGGGTCAACTAGCACTGCAGGCCTCCTCTGCTTCACTCTCCTCCATGTCACTTGTCACTCACCAGTGCCAAAGTGGAAGACATGGCGGAGGCGCCCGTGGGAGTTGGAGGCCTCACAGGAGACACCCTCTCGGCCCAGAGAGCTGGTCACTCGCAGGGTCAGTGAGCTGCTTGCCCAGCCCTGTCCACTGTGGGCCGGCTCTGCCAGCTGTGGAGGATTGGGTCAGGCCCGCACTGCCGGGGATCAAGGGTCACGGGTACAGGCAGAAGTGGAGATGACTGGCTGGGGCAGGGTCCCCAGCAGCTGGAGGAGCGGCCCACGGGGGAGGAGGGAAAGGCCCTTACCTGGGCACCTGGCTGGCTCCAGGTGAGTATGGGCTCTGGGTAGCCTCGGGCAGAGCAGATGAGCTCAACCTCGTCTCCTTCCGTCCAGCTGCCCTCAACCCTGGGATCCAGCTCCTTTGCCTTTAACTCTGGTGACCCTGTGGGCAACAGGAACCAAGACAAAGTGAGCAGGAGCCACACGGAGGGATAGGTAAGAGAGAGGACGAGGGAGCACAAAGGGCCTGGCCTTCTGGGCCCCCAACCCACCACTGTCCCCACCCAAGCCATCCTGCACTCCAACCTTGGACCACCAGCCTGAAGCTCTGGGTGCGGCTCAGGAGGGGGACACTGGGCACAGAGGCCTCACACACATAGGTGCCGGCGGAATCGAAGGTGAAGGGGCCGAGCAATAGCGTGGGTCCGTCCTCCAGAGGGACAGAGTCCTGGAGGGGACAGAAAGAAAGGCAACAGGGCATGAGCCTTGTGGCTGCCTGAGGGATGTTGGTGGGCGTTGGCGGGGTTCCGCTCCTTCCCACCTTGGTCCACCGCAGGGCAGGTTCAGGCTGGGCCTGCGCAGAGCAGGTCACGGCCGCAGTGCTGCTGTTCAGAAACACAGAGAGCTCCTTCCCGGTGCTGAGCTCCAGAGGGTCCAGGTCTGCAGGTGGGAGGGGACTCAGGATCAGCTGCCCCAGGCCCGGGCCTGGGGGCTCTCCCAGGCCCTCGAGGGCTGGCAAGCATCAAGGGAGAGCTGTGCCTTTGAGGAAGTCCCCAGACTCCTGCAGCCCAAACGCAGGGGTCTAACTCCAAGACACAGGCCCAGGGCCGCTTCTCTCCTGGAGGAGCCCAGGTTAATGGGTAACTAGGGCGGGGGTGGATCTTCCTGTGATTTATCATGCGAATCCTTTTTATTTCCTTCTTGTGCTAGGGATGGAACCAGGGCCTCAAGCCTGTTTGGGGAGCCCTCTGCTACTGACCCACTGTGTAGCCACTGTGGCCTCCACCCAGGCCTTGGGCTCTTCTCTCTTTTTTTCTGTCTTGGGGATCCAACCCAAGGGTACTCTCTGCCACTAAGCTATACTCCTGGCCCTTTTTTATTTTTAATTTTTTTTATTTTTTGGCGGAATCGGGGATTGAACTCAGGCTCTTGTGCTTGCCAGGCAAGCGCTTATTCTACTGAGCCATCTCCCCAGCCCCCCTTTTTTATCTCTGAGCCAGGGGGTTGTGCCCAGGCTGGGCTGGCACTTGCAATGCTCCTGCTTCAGCCTCCCGAGTCTTGGCATTACAGGGTGTGCACCAATGCATCTGGCTTTTTCTTTGCTTTGCTTTTTTTGTTTCTAAGATAAGATCTCACTGTGTAGGCCAGGCTGGCCTGAAACTCATAGGGATCTTCCTGCCTCAGGCTCCCAAGTGCTGAGATTATAGGCATGCACCAAGAGCCTGGCTCTGGCTAATTCTAAGTATTTATTTATTTGGGCTCTTTTTTTTTTTTTTTTTTTTCAGTATCTGGGATTGAAATCATAGGCTATTTCTTGGGAAGATGGCTCAGTAGAATAAGCATTTCCCTGGCAAGCGCAAAGGCCTGAGTTCAATCCCCGGTTCTGAGACCAAAAAAAAAAAAAAAAAAAAAAAATCCCACAGGCTAAAGATTTTATTTGTTCTGACTTCAAAATAGCTCCTCTGGCCCTCGTCCAGTGTTGAACCCCTGGATTGGATGGTCTGACCCCCCTTTGTCATCTACCCTCACTCTCTTCTCCTCAGTGCATCCTCCATAAAGCAGGCCTCTTCTCTGCTTAACTGGACAGTGGTTCTTGAGTACCTTGGCACCAGGACCCAAGTCCTCTAACAGCCCATAGGCCCTGCCTGCTCTGGCGCTGCCCACCTGTTGGTCATCTCTTGCCTCCCCTCTTGGCTGAGTCCCACAGGCCAAGCGGGGTGCCGCCCCAGGACCCTGCACCTGCTCACTCCGCCTGCAGCTTCTGCCTGCCCTTCTCACCAATGGCGCCTTCTCATAGAGGCCTCCTTGACCCATGTTGTGGACAGATCTCCCTCCCCACCCTGCAAGATTGATTCCCCCAGCTGCTGAGAGCTGGGGCAGCTGCCAGCCCTCAGCTGTCCTCCCTCTCTGGGAGCTGCCTCAGCTGTACAGCTCCTCACCCCAACCATGAAGGGCCATTCCAGCATCTGACGTCCCCGTGGGACTAAGCAAGCCTTCTTTAGCTTGTGGTGAGCTTCTCCCCCTGCCCACCCGTCCTCTGCCACCTCCCCAGTCCCAGGGTCTGCAGTCCCAAGAGGCTCCCTGAGAGCTTTCTACCGAAGGCCTCCATGGCAGGGTCTGCTCCTGGGCTGCAGGCTGCCCCAGGCCACCCCTCAGCTCAGCACAATGGCTTGCCTAGCAGTTACCATTGGTGCTCCCCTGGAGGGGAGGGGACAGGTCTGTCTGGTCACGGGTGTGTCCCCAATTGCTGCTGCAGGGTCTACCCATTTGGAGTGCTGAGGAGCAGGAGGAAGAGGGGGAGGAGGAGGAGGAACAAAACCTTTGCCCTGCAAATCCACCTGAAAGGGTTCTTAGCTAGGTGCTAGGGAGCCCCCTATATCCCTGATACTTGGGAGGCTGACGCAGGAGAATCATCCAAATTCAATGCTGCCTAGGTCACTTATCAAGACCTTGTCTCAAGTAATGCCAGCATATACTCACTATGTATAGTGAGTCCAGGCCAGCTTGAACTAGATTATCAAGACCCTCTCTCATTAAAATAAATAAACAGGGCCAGGGAGATAGCTCAGTGGCATAAGGGCTTGCCTGGCAAGTGCAAGGTCCCAAGTTTGATCCTCAGTACAATATTAAATAAATAAACAAATAAACAACCTTGTCTCACAATTTAAAAAATAGAAATAAATAAAAAGGGCTAGCCAGGCATGGTGGTACACGCCTGTAGTCACATGCCTATAATCCCAGTCCTCGGAAGGCTGAGGCAGGACGACTGTTCCAAGTTCAAGACCAGCCTGAGCTACAAGGCCAACCTGAACTGTATAGTGAGTTGCTCTCTGAAAAATGACCAAAAAAAGGCTGTGTGTGGCTCAGTCAGTGGCAGAGCACTTGCCTAACATGCACAAGGCCCTAGGTTCCAAGCCAATACTGCTACAAAGAAAAAAAAGAGGAAGAGGAAGAAAAAGAAACCCAGAATCAGAAGGAAAAAAAAAAAAAAAACCATGGTGGCACACGCGCCTATAATCCCAGCACTCGGGAGACTGAGGCAGGAGTATCTTTGCAAGTTCAAGATCAGCCTGATGGCTCAGTGGAATAAGCGCTTCCCTGGCAAGTGCAAGGGCCTGAGTTCAATCCCCAGTTCTGCCAAAAAAAAAAAGATCAGCCTGAGCTACAAAGTGACCTCAAGGTCAGCCTGAGCTGCATGGCGAGACCCTGTTTCAAGAAGACAGACAGAAAGAAAGAAAGACAGACAGAGAAACCCAGAATCCAGGAAACTGGTTACAAATGGAGGGCACCAAAGAGAGTTGAGGTAGGAGTGAAAAGAGGAGCCAGGGCCTTGAGGGGAGAAGAAAAGAGTCCCCTGCAGTGATGCCTGCCAGTGGGCCTCAGGGGCTGTGGACAGGGATGGGGGCTTTCTGGGGCCCATGGCAGGTTCCAGGAGGGAGGGCTCAGGGAGCTCTCTGCAGGGCTTGCTGGGCTCCCAGGAGGTGGGGCAGGAGCAGGTGAGTGGGGAGAGGGAGACATGCAGAAAGGCAGCGCTGCATCGGGAGGCAGTGTGTCCAGGATGTGAGGTGACCGGGGGGCGCGCACGCGCATGTGTGGGTGCAGGGCAGGTCCGTGCCCCTCTACCCCCTCAGGGTGCTCACAGGCCACTTTCAGCCCCAGCGTCTGGCTGAGCAGCACGTCCTCTGCAGCATCAAAGTCTTCCACTCGGCAGCCATAGGTCCCGCTCTGGCTCCGGTTCACACCCTCCAGGGTCAGCTTCCCCTCCAAGTTTGTGCTCAGCACTTCTTCCTGCGTGTTCTGGGACCAGAAGGGACAAGCCAGGCTCAGGAGCCACCCTGGCCCAGGGGGTTACCCTAGGTCAGGGGTCACCAAGTTTGATACCATGCTCAGCCAGGATAGACCACCCACACTCCAGGACAGACCACCCAGACCCCGGGGCCTGAGGATGGCACACGGTGGAGCAGAGCATGTGCCTATAGCACTCTCGGGCCCTGGGTTCCATCACCAAAAAGTCACCATCCACCACCAGAAATTAGCAGTTGGTGACAAGCAGTGTGTTGCAGAGGTAAGGGTTGGGGAGGGACGGAGTGTGTCACCTGCAGGCGGAAAAACATGTACTCCGGATTGGGGCTGCCATCACCCTCACAGAGCAGCTGAACAGCGTCACCCTCGCGCACCCAGCCCTCTGGGGTGGAGGGGCTGCCCACCCAGAGGCGCACGTGTTCCGTGGGATCTGTGGGGAAGGGCAGGAAACAGAGGCGTCTGTGTATGTCATACTTGGGGAGGGGTGTGGCACGGCTAAGGGAGCCAGGTCAGCCCCACGCGGCTCAGGGAAGCTGGGGGGGGAGTCAAAGGTTAGAGGTCATGTTTCAAGGCTCAGCTTCATGACCATTCTGAGTGGCTCCAGAAGTCACAGCTGGACATGAACGGAGGGGACAAGTCAAGAGTTAGAGGTCAGTGAGGGTCAGCATGAGATTTGGAGCCAGAGGCCCTACGGAGGCTCAACTGGGTCTGAAGGATGGAATAACACAGTGCCTGGGTGCTGTGCAGGGCAGAGTTGGGATGAGATTTGTGATACTGTGGGAGGTTGGAGCTCAGCAGCTGGCAGCAGCACATATACCAGCTCTAGACAGGGTGTGTGAGGCCACTTTGCCTTGGGGGTGCTGGGCCTCAGGGGTCCTGGCTCTGGCCAGGGGTGTCAGGCCCAGGGACTCACAGTGCACAGTGAGGTTGAAGGCAGGGCTGTCCAGGCGGCCGTGGCGGTCCCCAGGCAGGCTGTACTGGGCGGCACAGTGGAAGCTGGCGTTGCGGTCAGCCTTGCGGACCCGCAGATAGAGGGTGCTGGAGAGGGACAGCAGGCCTGAGGCCTCCCGGACTGTGCGGATGGTCATGTAGCCCTCTTGGAGAGGCAGAGACATCAGTCAGGGCCCTGGCACCACCCATCCTAGTCCAGGTCTTGCTGGCTCAGAGCTTACCTTCATTCATCTCCATGGGCACCTCCAAGAGCCGCCCATTCCGGTACCAGGTGATCTGTGGGGCTGGGTTCCCATTCCGGCTGCTGCAGGTGGCGATCTGAGGCACACAGGCGGGGCTGGGAGCCAGGACTCTGACGGCTGGGTCCCCTCTTCCCTCAGATGCACATCAGCTTCCTCCCGGGATCAGAAGTCAGGCCCCCGGGCTCCCATTCTTTAGCCTGAGACTCTGCCCCCAGCCCCACCTCCAGACCTTGGAGTCCAAGTCAGTCCCCAATGTACCTGTGGGGCTTGGTCCATCACAGACAACGTCCCTTCATTGGGGAGCACCTCGGTGGCCTCTGGTTGGGCTACAGAGGATGATGTTCATGTCAGGAGCCCCTTTTTCACCTTACCTGCCCTGCCCTTCTCAGGGGTCCCTGGGGACACTCACCAAATACCCGGAGCCTTGAGGTGGCCTCAGCGGTGCCCGCAGCCCCAGCTGTCACCACGCACACGTAGTCCCGCTCATCGCCCACCTGGGCCTCAGTCAGCACCAAGCTCCCCTGGGGGTCCAGCTGGTAAGGGGGACTGCGGCCCCAAAGGTCATGCACTGTGCCATGCAGCTCGGAGCCCTGCTGCTCAGCTGAGGCCAGGCGGCGACGGGCCCCAGAGCGTTCCATCTGGGGACAGCAGGGGCAGGGCCAGGTCTCAGGCCACTCCTTCATGCCCAAGGGCCTGTTTTCCTCTGGCCTTTTCTTTCTGGTATCCCTGGGGTCTGTCTTCCTCCTGGTGTGTCTCTCACTCCTCTAGCCCCGACCCTCCCTCCTCCCATCCAGTACCCTGTTTTTGATTTTTCCTCCATGTTCCTCTTTTTTTTTTTTTTTTTTTTTAAAGGCAGGGTGTTGCACTGTAGTTCAGGCTGGCCTCGAGCTCAAGGCAATCCTCCTGTCTCAGCCTCCCCGAGTGCTGGGATTACAGAAGTGCACCACTATGCCAAGCTCCATGTCCTTGCTGCAGCTCGCTCTGTTCCCATGTCTCTCCCTCTGTCCTTGCTCTCACTTCCTCTCCTTTGTGGTCCCTTCATGGCCCCTCTCCCAAGGCCCAAATTCTGAAGGAAGACTCCAGTCACTGTCAGCCCTGCCCAGCACGTGGGACCCTGGAGCGTCCCTTCCCCTCAATGGGCCTAAAGTCCCCATCTGTAAAGTGGAAATGCAGCAGACCACCGGTCCTCTCCCAGCCCTGTGGAGGCCAGGTGGGATGCGGGCAATGGCACAGCCTGGGCCACCTACACCCACCGCTCCCACACCTTCTCTGAGCACTCACCAGGAACCACTCCAGCACAAAGTGGTCAGGCTTCTTCAAGGGGGTGCAGCTCAGGGTGACCCGCTCTCCCCGCATCACCTCCACCAGAGGGGGCACAGACACATGCATCTCGGCCCGGACACCTGGGGACACAACAGCTCCTTCCTACTGCCACCACCATGATGGCGCTCCAGGGCCACCCTCCTTCTTCAGGCAGGGACCCACTCTCCATCTCTCATCTCTGTACTTCCAACACCCCAGCCTTTCTCCCATCTCTTCCTTGCATGGTCAGGCTCCCCCGGGGCTTCACAGGCCTGGTGGGCTTGACTCCACGTCCCAGGTCGGGCTGCTGCATTTGCCCTGCTCCTCCCACCAGGGCCAACACCTCTGCTGCCCTGCTCTCTCCTGTGTGGGGGCCTGCGGTGTGGGCTGCGGCTAGCCTGGAGCTGAAGGAAGGCTGCATGGGATGGGTGTGTGGGGCGGTGAGGGGGGACAGGGCTGGGCAGGTTTCAGGAATGTGGGAGGGAAAGGCTGGCTGAGACCTGCCCTGGCTGGCAGCAGAGACCCCTGGGCACCCCCTGCCTCCCCTATCTCTTTAATAGAACTGGGAGGTGAGGTGAGTCACCCGGATGGGGACAGGGCTGAGGCTAGGACAGGGGCCCTGGGGGAGGAGGGCCCAAGAGGCTGGGTCCTGGCTCTTGGCAGACAGTGAAATCCCCACTCTACCCTCTGGGCACCACTCTCAGCTCTTAGAACCTCCCTGCCCTGCCCTGCCCCACCCCATCAGTCAGGCCTGGGGTTGGCGGGGGATGACCCATTATTTACCAGGCTTCGGATTCCTGGCCACTCTCCTCCGGCCCCAGGGGAGGGACCAAGGGGCCAGGTTGGTGCCTGGCTCAGACCGCAGGGATGCGCTCTCACTTTCCCAGTCCCTCCGAGTCCCTGTCTCTGTCTACAGCGCCTCCTCCCCCACCAAATGCAGGTGTGTGCGCTGTGGGGCCCCAGGAAAGGGGCACTGTCACTCGGAAACACTTTGTTCCACCGCCACTGCCAGGGCGGGACTCCGGCCCTTTCCAAGGGAGGTGGGTTCCCTACAGATCTAAGCTCAGAGTTTCAGCTGGGAAAACTCACAGAATGGGAATCACAGGCTTGGCCCGTAGCAGAGCTTTGCTGAGGGGAGCCAAGCTCCCTCAAAACTTGAGAACCTTGGAGGGGACAACCCTGGGGTTTGGGTCTCGTGTCCCAGGGGAAGCCACTTGGGGACCTCTTGGGTCTGAGGAAGCAGGGCGGTGGGCCCAGATTCCAACGTCCTGCGTGGGAAAGGGGCAAAAGGATCGGGACTTGCCTGACCCATGCCATGGTGTCCCCAGCTCCCCTTGTCTTCCCTCCCTGAGGTCCTCGCCTTGTACTCCTGGGGAGAGTGGCAGCCCCTTCTGCTCTTGCCCTCCCGGCTCCCCAGAGCCGCCCGCCCCTACCTGGGTGCGCCGCCAGCAGGAGCACGAGCCACAGTAGCCGCGGGGCCCTGCGCGCCCCGGCGCGGGTGTCCGGGGGCTCCATGTTCGCGCGGCGGCGGCGGCGGCGGCGGCG